GAGTTTTTTAGATGTCTTATATGTATAATTAAATTTTATACATTTTTAATAAATTATATAAACATGTTTTTAATAAAAAACATAATTTAGTAGAAAAATTTAAACTATGGCAAATAAATCTATTACTTTATATTATTCATATGAAATAGATTTAAATTAAAATACAAATTTTAAAAATTTCTAAAAATTCTAAAAATAGAGGTTTTGTTCAATTTGTTTATATTCTATCAATTGAAAAAAGTTTTGTAAAAGGAATTCTTTCATCAGCATATCATATCAATCAGATTGTGATTTACAATTTTGTAATAATATGGATCCAAATATAAAAGTTTTAATATATGGACATATTGTACATACTATTTTGTATGTTTTACTAATTTATTAAATTCTGATTGTAATTATTGGTTTCAATATTACAAATTATCAATTGAAGAATTATCAAAATCTTTTAATTCTTGATTAACTTCTGAAGAAAATAATTATGAAAATAATAATATTGATGATAATATTGATGATAATATTATTAATATTGAAGAAATTAATAATGATGAGATATTTGAAAATATTAATTTAAATGAAAATAATTTAAATGAAAAATTAACAGTAGCTATTAATGATTTTAATTCATTAATAAATGAAGAATTGTCATTAGAAAATATAACTCAAAATAATAATGAAGAATTTTCTGATTTTTCTAATAAGAGAAAAAGAAATTCACATCTTATTAACCCAATTAAAAAAAAAAAATTTTTTTTTATATTAATTATTATTATTATTTAATCTTATTTAATATTTTTAACTAAATTTTATTTATTTATTTATTTGATATTTTTTATTAAAAATTTATTTTATTAATATTAATTTCGTGGGATATTAATAAGGACAGGCGATTTTGCGAATTTCGTTACGTGCCGATCATTTTATTAGGCACGTGAATAGACGTATATTTTACATTAATGCAAGGAGTTTATCGTAATTCGGAAATTTCACTCAAAATAATTGTATTCGCACCTGCACGAAAAATCCATGGAGAACACCCCCGCGTGATCGAAAATAGCAACTAGAACTCTGCTCGTAATGTGTTACTATGATGCTCAAATGAATATGTACTTAATTGATTAATAGACTTTCAATCTAACTGGCTGCAAATTATTCGCTAATAATAATAATAAACAATATAAAATTACTGTATAAAAAAGTACTTTGCGATCTGCATGATTCCCATTTTAAGAAAAAGAATTGTTGAAGTATTTAAGGGTCCTTGTCTACCTTCGAGGTAATTACACAAAACGCTGAATGGTGTTTAAAAATAGAAATATTTGATAAATATTGTCCTGAAGGTTATAACGGTTTGTAAAAATCATTGTTCAGGAATTTGTTCTGAAACAGGTTAACGACCTTGTTTCAAATATCTGACAGATGACGATAATTCCAAATTAGGAATCAGCGAAAAAATACATAGTGTTCAACATGCCAATCCACATCTCGCAGGCCGGACCTCTTTCTTCACTCATTCCCATCAACCTAATACGCTCGTAAGATTCCACCTAAACTCTCCAATATTTACCTTAATTTTGAAAACGAATGCCTCCAAAAACCACGACATCTTCACCCGGCGCGTCGTCAACTGGGTTCGCAGTCTCATCACCAAGTTTACAAGCTGAAGAAGGTTTCCGACAAAGATCGAAAGCAGCATCACCGAAATGGCAGTATTTGAATGGCGATGATAAAGAAAAGTTGCCTGCTTCAGAATATGATGGTATGCGAAATTTTTTATTTGACGAACGAACACTACTGTAAACTTCTTTGAGTGCATTTCGTACATTATCCTCTCTCACATTCCTATTCCTTCAATTCACCGAAATGTCAGAGCAATCGCCCTCATCCTGCGCCGTCAAGCCATACATAGGACTCCACGCAAAGTTATCTCTCGCCTGGATTACCTACCCTATAATATCATTATTCATCATCGTTTTTCGTTTGATCGTCGCTATGTCTTCAATTCAGCCTCTGGTCGATAGCATCAAGAACGATGCCGCGAAAACGTGCAGCGCACTCGAATTAGCGACTTCCACTGTCACTTCCTTACCTCATTTCATGGCCGACGGGTTCAACCGCGAAACCATAAATGGCATCAATCTGGCCATTGAAGGACTTACCAAGACCCTTGATCTGGCCATCACGGCTCTTGAGGGTATAATAATTTGGTTAATACATGTGTATCGGAGTACCTATAGGTGCATGTTGGAATTGGCGGCAAATGCTTCTGTGAACATTTCACTGGAAACTGTTAGCGCGCTGCAACAATTTACCACCACACAACTCGGGACAATTAAATCCAACATTGACAATGATATCGGAAAGATAAATTCAGAGCTTAACAGTATCCGGGGTGCACCATCACTCATCGGAGTTCAGATTCCGACGGTTTCTATCCCTTCGGCGGACGCATTGAATCAATTTGATCTTCCCACGAACCTAATCACTGGTGTAACAGCATTGAATAATAGCATTCCTACCATGGCTGACATCGAATCTAAATTGGATAGTTTGATATCGGTTCCGTTTGATGACCTTCGTAATCTCATCAACTCTTCAATGTCTAATATCAAATTCAACGAGTCTCTTTTACCAGTACCACCGAAGAACAACGTGGAGTTCTGCGCTCAACACCTGGATCTTAGCGTCCTCGACGAATTAGCTCTTGACCTCGTCAAGGCAGCACGCGTTGGAATTGTCATCATAGCGGTCATAGGTCTGCTGATGATTTTAGGAAATGAGATCTACGTTAGGTTCAACCATTGGCGATTCATGGTCCATGTGGAACGCACCACCACCACAATCCAGTTGATCACCATCACTCACACTCGAGAATCGGTTATTGAAATCATCAAAATAGCTGACCACCCTTTGATCTCCCGATGGATCATAAGATCTTCAAAAGTCTTTAGTCGATTAGAAAACCGGAATTTATACCGTTGGTTTTGGGACTACATTCTTCATCGACCTGCCGTAATCGTTTTACTTATGGGATTGTCCGGAGTATTAGGAATATACGTACAAATTTTGATTTTAAATATCGTTCGTCAAAAATACAAAGCACCCGTAGAGCAAGTGATAAGCGCTTTCGGTAATGCGGTGGAGAGCTTGGTAAATTCTCAATTGAACTCGACTTCGGTACAATTTGCGGATAGTAGTAATTCCGTGATTTCGGACGTTCAGAATGTTATCAATCAGGATTTATTTGGTTGGGTTAATATCACCACCACGGCCTTGAATAATACATTGAACTCTGCAGTAGAAGAAATTACCGGAGTCATTAATACTGTCTTTGGAGGAGTCCCAATTTTGGCCAACGCCGTGCAACAACTGGTTGGATGTCTTATCCTCGTGAAGATTCAAGGGATCCAGGAAGGTCTGAAGTTTATCTCGGATAACGCGTATGTGGAGTTGCCGAGGGTTGACAATACGGTGTTGATGTTAAGTCAGGATAGAGTGCAGGATATTGTTAGTGAGGCCACGAACAAGTTGGTTGGACCGACCAGCGCGAATTCGACGTCGTCGAATGTTAGCGGCGGCGAGATCGGAAGTATTTTCGATCAATACGAACAGATTCTGAGAAATGAATTGTACGTCTTTTGGATAATGATTGGCGTGTACGGAATTGTTATATTGATGGGGTTTATTAGGGTTGCGTGGTTTGTGTACAAACGAAAGAAGAACGAAAAGAAAGTGACCTATGTGAAGGATCAATCAGATGACGAAAAGTCATCACAATTACGATCGGCTGGAAAAAAGATGAGACAATTTGGTCAAATGAAGAAGCTCTTTAAGAATAGCGTGTCGTCGTCAAACAATAGTGGACGTCAACCGCCGAATCAATCAAACACAAGTGGTCGGAAGTTCACGAACACGAATATTCTTGAAGAGAACGTGGAAAAAGATAGTGATGATGATGTGAATAATAATGATAACCTAGACATCGATCCCATAAATCCGTTCAGCGATATCAATGCCGTGAAAACCAAAAGAAAACGACCTCCACCGCCACTACTACCTAAACCATTGTACCTTCGAC